TGAATATATATATATATATATATATATATATATATATACACAAACAGAAGAAAACTTTACATACTGAGACAGGGAAGAGCCTCAAGAAAAAGGTCAATTCTGTCATGTGACTTCTTTTTCTGATGGTATGAAAGAGACAAAGTAATGACACTAAAGATATAGTTCTGTGGTAAATATTTTTTGCTTTTGTATATGGCTTAAGCCTTTTTTTTTTTTTTTTTTTTTCTCTGGACTCTCCCCTCCCAAAATGGGCTACTTCTGGTCTTTTGTGCATCTAGCTTTTCCAAATATTGGTTGGCCTCAAGCAGTACTTCCAAAAAGAAAAGGGATCACAGGACAGTGTGATCCCTTGTGATCCTAATAGATTCAAGCTTAATTATAGACAATAGGAATATGTTTATTTTTTTGCATTTCAAACAACTTTTTGTCTAAGTTGCACCAATTTAGTCTTTGTCATGTTGTGTGAAAAGAAGTTTCTATTTTTGTCCAAATAAATATTTTGTTATTAGTGATAGATACAGTAAATAAAAATCTAAGGAAAAATTTTTATCTGTCAGTGAATTTTCAAATTTTTTCTCAGCTTACAAGTATATTTTATTATAATTCAGATTGCTGTTCCAGAGGATGATTGTAGCATATCAAAAATATTTGAGCAATATAAATATGAATTATACAAATTCATGCTATATTTATATTATTAATAACCAAGAATTTAATTTTTAAAACTATACAATAATTTTAGTGTATGCATATAACAATTTTAGACAAAACTATATACAGTGTATGTGGAGTGCTGAAAAGTTGATAACGTTATCCAGATGCAAGAGAACAAAAGTCACACTATGAAAATAATAATAATACAGTGGTACCTCAGGATACGAACGCCCCAGCATACGAAATTTTCAGGATATGACACGAAATTCGAACATATTTTTGCTCTACGATACGAACAAAAACTCACCTTACGACGTTACATTAGTTCGCAGCGCCATTTTTTATTCACTTTTGTTCATCGGTCTCGGTCCGCGTTTGCTTCGTCNGAACGCCCCAGCATACGAAATTTTCAGGATATGACACGAAATTCGAACATATTTTTGCTCTACGATACGAACAAAAACTCACCTTACGACGTTACATTAGTTCGCAGCGCCATTTTTTATTCACTTTTGTTCATCGGTCTCGGTCCGCGTTTGCTTCGTTGTGTACGGATCTTGCTCGATAAAGGAAATCTCGAGATATTATAGAAAATAAATGATTTTATTAAAAAGAAACATCCCGAAAAGGTTCATATCGGCGTATTCCCGCTGGGAGTAATGACATTTGCCTAAGTCATTTTAGAAACAGTTTAAAAAGTAGGCGAAGCCAAACCTCTTTGGATAGATATTTTAGCAAGCGACCTCTATCCAGTGAAAGTGCTGTGGAAGTGAAGGAAAGAAAGCAAAAAAGCAGTGAATAAAAAATAAAATATGAAACAGAAAAGATAAAAATTAGTGTTAACTTACATAATATAATGTAACAATAACTTAAGTTTTAGTGTCATTCCAGTTTACACCTCCACCGTTGTCTATCGTCAAAGGTAAAGTGCAAATAAAACTACATTTTTTTTAATCAATTATTATTCTATTATGGTTATTTATACATTTACAACTACAAAATGCATTTTTCAGTGTTTTCCTTACTATAGTTATTTTTTTTTAATATACAACTTAGCTTTAATTTGAGTGTTTTTTTCGTGTTGGAATGAATTATTTGGTTTTACGTATAATCGTATGGGGAAAAATGATTCACCTTACGACATTTTCATGATACGATCTCAGTTTCAGAACAGATTAATTTCGTATCCTGAGGTACCACTGTAGAAGTCTTGAAAGAATGCATACACCATAAATCTGTTACAATCATTAGTTTGCTTATTTCAACAATTTGAATTCATGATGGCTGCACCAAGATCAGAATTTAGCAACATTTAGAAGAGTCTAGCTATGAAGTTTTTGTGCCTTCAGGAGATTGACTCTGAGATGTTGATAACTGTATGGCAGGATTGCCCTTCCCTCATCACAATGGTGAAGAAATGGATGGTCCATTTCAACAACAACAGATGATGTGGATGAAATCCACATTTTCATCTGTTCACATGATCTGATCCTCAAAGATTGTCAAAGACTAAAGAGTTTCCATGTAATCTGACATTCTCAATGTATAAAGGTTTCCTGTGAAATGGATTACAAAACTTCTCACTGCAGACCAGAAATAGAATCACATAATTGCCTCCAAAGCCTTTTGGCAAAGTTCTATGATGGTACTGAGATTTTAGCCCAATTAGTGACAATGGATAAAATATGATTTCATCACTATAATCCTGAGATGAAGAAACAATCAAAGAAATGGTGTTGTAGAGGATCTCCACAGACAAAGAAGTTCCATGTCCAGAAATCATCCAGAAAAATCATGGCTTTTCTGTTTTGAGACAAGGATGGCATCAATTTTGTCAAGTATCTGCTGAGGGCTAGGGAATCAGTGTTAATTCACTGGTTGATAAGTGGTGTTAATTCAGTGTTGATTACACTGAATTAACATTACTTATCCAGGTCTATTGGATGAATTGCTTTCAAGGAAAAACTGTGGGAGAAACTGAGTCAAGGTATGCCCTCTCTGAAAGGTAGCACCTTTGCCACACAGCTCTCCAAATCACACAAAAAAATCAAGGATTTCAGAGTCCAATTGTTGGACCATCTAGCCTATATTCACTAGATCATACTCCCTCAGATTATTATATCTTCTCAATTTTAAAGGAAGAGTTGAAGAGGATGAGATTTACTTCTGATCAAGTAGTCATTGGGTCTTCAGAGGGTTGACCAACCTAAGGCATTTTTTTTTTTTGCAGAGATTAAAAAATTGGAGTATATCGTGTAGAGTTGAAGGGTGATTATATTGAATAAAATGTAAACCGCCGGGGAGGGTGTAGGTCTCCCGATCCGGCAACAGGTTGATGAACCTTCTCACTGGTCAGGATGGATTAAAATTTTACTTTTCCCGCGGTAACGGGATTAAATGTTTCGGGTCGCGTGGCGGAGGGAGGAGTGCGTCGGTAAGATGACCGATGATATACGAGTAAAAGAGGACACCAATTTAACAGGATAACAACGATTTATTAGCTACATAGATATTACAATAACTAATTTCAAAGGGAAAAATCTGAGTCCCTGAAACGCGAAGGACCGAGAGAGAGTTCACAAAAATAAGTTCCATACCTCTTTATGGTTTTAAATATTCTTGAGGAAAAAGGTTTTGATATCCAATGGGTTGGTAGGATTAGGATAATAATTTTTCTTCAGGACACAATATCGATAGGACACAGTATATTAATAGGACACAATATTCGTAGGACACAGTTGTAAAAGTGACGGTGGATGAACGACTCCCCCGAGAAGGGGAAGGAAGGGGTTTTTATAAGTTCGGCATGAGAGAATGGTCAGGTGACCAATTGTTGTGAGGTAAAAGGTATGCGAATGGGTCAAAGTTGTTCCTGGTCCCATGCTAACTATCAACTTTGGAGTTGGAATGTGGGATTAGTTTCGAAATGGACGGATGTTTACTTTAAACGAAAGGGGAGATCGGAAATTTTCCCTTTTTTTGGTTAGATTGTCATTTAGGTTTTAAAGGAAAATTAAATTGGGGGTTTAGAAAAATGCTGAATATTAATCGGAAAATTCGGTAAAAAGTCCAGATTTCACAAAAATATATTCAGTTTATTGTATTGGTATTTCTCTTTTCATCTAGGAAAAGTTGCAAGCTTTTCAGCACAGCATACCATGATGCAATACAGTTCTTGAATCGTTTCTGTTGAATGATTTATCAAAATATTATATATTTATCAGTATTCTTAAACACTTGAAAATTTGAATCAGAATTAGATACCAAAACTACACTGGTATTTAAAATATAACATAATACTATTGCATTGCTGTTTTTTAAATTATAAGTTTTATGATTCCTTTTGTATTATGTTTTAATTTTATTTTTTAGGTCAAACAATTGGATTATGAATATTGCCTTATCAAAAACAGATGAATTATTTGTAACTGATATTTCAGGAAATATTTTAATGATGCCATGCAGATCAAACAATGTAGATNTTATTTCTTTACTATACTGCTCCATATTATGTGTACGATCCAAAAACAATTTAATAGAGAATCCATATTTATTTACTATTTTCGATAGCTGTATTATCCAACTTCGTCTTAAGTCCGTTTCCCTTGATTTGTGATATAGTAAAAACAGTAATTTTGTTATGTCTTCTGCCTTAATAATTTTTTGAAGAAACATTAAATATCTTTTTATTAATATAGTATTTAGTCTAAATCTATTTGTTTCTAATCTTAAAGCGCTGCCCGGGATATTAAATTCTAACTGGAATATCTTGCATATAAATATATTCTGTATTTTTTCAAAGTCATTAAATCTATCCATACTCCAAACTGGGGCCGCATAGCACATTGAATTCATCACAAGCGAATTAAAAAGTTGAAAGTGTGTTCCTAAGTTCTTTAGTTTTGCCTTACAGAATAGACCAATTAAGTTATTTATTGCANTTTCCCTTGATTTGTGATATAGTAAAAACAGTAATTTTGTTATGTCTTCTGCCTTAATAATTTTTTGTAGAAACATTAAATATCTTTTTATTAATATAGTATTTAGTCTAAATCTATTTGTTTCTAATGTTAAAGCGCTGCCCAGGATATTAAATTCTAACTGGAATATCTTGCGTATAAAGATATTCTGTATTTTTTCAAAGTCATTAAATTTATCCATACTGCAAACTGGGGCCGCATAGCCTATTGAATTCATCACAAGCGAACTATAATACAATTACAAAAATAAAAAATAAATAATTAAAGGCAATTTCCACTGTTCTATCGTTACTCTGGTAAAGGATAGTTCGATATCATCGCTAATCTAGCATATTTATCCTAAATCTATTTGTTTCTAATCTTAAAGCACTGCCCAGGATATTAAATTCTAACTGGAATATCTTGCGTATAAATATATTCTGTATTTTTTCAAAGTCATTAAACTTATCCATACTCCAAACTGGGGCCGCATAGCCCATTGAATTCATCACAAGCAAATTTAAAAGTTGAAAGTGTATTCCTAAGTTCTTTAGTTTTGCCTTACAGAATAGACCAATTAAGTTATTTAGTGCAATTTTTATAATGTTTCTCAAACAAGAGGTTTGGTGTAAATGTTATTCCTAAAAATTTAATTTCCTTAACTATCTTCACTTCTTTATTAATAAAAAAGGACATGTGCTTTTTGGATACATTACTACCATTTCNATATAGTACTGTAATTTAAAACTATAATTTTAATATTATTTCCATTACATTCAGTAATAAATGAGAATTATTATTTACAAGTAATATTAGTATGTAGAGAATGATGACTTACGCTGGAGCTATCATGCAATACTTGACAGAATTAATGAATAAAGATTATGCAATACATCATTATCAATGTTTGCTTAAGAACAGTGTAGAAGTTGCTTGAAATGACACTAAGATTATTAGACCTACAAGCAATCTAAATTGCCTTAAACATGGAAATCTTGAAAATCTACAAGTCTAATAAAAGCATTGGTTTCATTAACTACCAGGTTGAATATATTTTATCCACTGCATGGAAATAATTTCATGAAATTTAACTTACAAGGAGAATGTTGCTAAATGCAAGTCATGTAATACTTAGTACTAGCATTTACTGTGCTGCAACTTGAAAAAAATTGTAGACCTATACATTCTCACTGTCAGACGACAGTGAGAATGTATAGGTCTACAATTTTTTCAAATCCTGTCTGTCTTTCCTTAATCTGAGAAGGCTGTTAGGTAAATGAAATTCAAGACCAGACATGGAAAGCCTGGGTAGAGGCCCAATTAACTATATATGAACTTCCGATTCAAACCAGAAGTCATGTTATTTCAATTCAAAAATTTTCCTCTGAAAGCACTTAATAGATGACTGGCACGACTTCATTGCTAACAGAAAAGTATGATGTACAGGGGCCAAGACATTAAAGTATTAATTTGTAGTGGAAAGCATATATTTTAAATGAAATAAAGTAAAAATATGATTAAAAATTGCAGCCTGGCAATGTGATGATGTCACAATAAATAATTGCTCGTTTGGTAGTTAAACACATGCTATTTACTTACCTAAGAGGATATTTCTCTATTGTCAATATTTATATTTTTCATAAGAAAGTAAATGATGGACTGTTTGACAAGTGGAATGAAGGTGTAAAGCTGATTAACAGTGACATCATTGTGTTATGACAAAACATGCTAGTATCCTTGAACCATGTAGTAATTGACAATGGATAAATGGATAATTGCTAGCAAGCATTACTTTTCTAATAAGATGATGTTACATACAAGAAAAGCAAGAAAAAAATTAAGAATATGGTATAGAACAATGGTTCCCAACCTTTTTTGGGTGGCGACCCCTTTTTATAAAAGCCAAGTGTCCCACAACCCCGATACAATTGAAAAAGGCATTTTTAATAAGGTAATTAAAAAAAGGAAATTAGTTTTTTAGTATAATTTTATTTTAAATTATGTTTAATAATTTAATGCGATGGTTGAAATTGCATGTTATTAACCAGCCTCAAAATTCGCGGGCGAGTTTTTGTTAACGCCAACCTCATGTCATTCTCAACATTTAATTTATTCCTTTCAAACTCAACATGTTTCAACCAACTGTGGCATAATAGCGTACCTAGATTACACTTATTTTAATTTTAAAAATTTATATGAGATATATTTTTTTTAAATTAAANATAACGAAATATCGACTTTTTTTTTAAATTAAAATAAAAACTTCAAGACACTATTAAAAATAAAAATTGCATTATAGTGAATATTTTCTTTAGTTTACTGTATAAGTTGGCGACCCCACAGAAAGCCCGTCGCGACCCATAGGTTGGGAACCTGTGGTATAGAACAACGGTGGGCCAGATACGGCCCGCAAAGAGTTTCTATCCGGCCCGCGAGATGTTTAGAAGAAATTATAAATAAATATTTTTTAATGTAATTCGTCTAGTTTAAATTGAATATTATTTTCTGAAGTGTTGCGGCAGCAATGACAGGAAAAAATAAGGGAGTCATTTCCTTAGTCAAACAAAAAATGGGAGAACAGAATTTTTCTAAATTATTTGTATCTCATCACATCATCCATCAAGAAAATCTATGTGCAAAAGCTATGCAATTAGAAAATGTAATGTCTGTCGTATCCAACTACATAGTGCTGTTTTTATTGTGTTTAAAGTCACTTAGATTTTACAAATAGGTGAGCCGTTCACAGCCTGGCACACACATTTGTAAAATCTAAGTGACTCATACAACATGGAATTCATATAAAACGGAATAATCAACAGTGTTATAGGGGGGTCGACTGTAGTAATTAATTTCTTTTTATTTATTTATTTCATATTTGCAGACTAAAAATTTACAGGTCACAAGGTGTCAATTAACTACTATGGCCCGCGGAAAAAACGTAAAATTTATTCTGGCCCATGTTATATAAAAGGTTGCCCACCCTTGGTATAGAAAACAGTGCAGAAAAAATACTTCTAATATTAATATCAATAAATCATTCTTGCAAATGCCTATGTAAAGTAATTGTAGTAAACAATCCTATATCAATGTTTTTCATAAATAAAAGCTATATGTAAAACTCATAGTTGGTTCACTATTAAAAATAGTCTACATAAGAAAAGACACAAATATGAGTAAACTATGTGTAATAAGTTACAATTAAAATATCTTGTGTGTTACATGTTGTTACTTAAAAAAATTAAAGTACACTAAACATTTTTGTATTTTCAACAATGATAATGATATAATTATTTTTCCTTTTCAATTACAATACACAAATACAAATGCTTGTGTGTATTTGAACGGATTTGAGTAACATAAATCTAAATGACATTTAAGCCATGCTTGATAATTACGCATATATTGCCTGCATGAGTATACTTCATTAAGTCTGTTTCTAATAATAATGTGTTTTTTGTGTTTAGAATAAAATTTTTGTTTAGAATATGTTCTATTTATTTTTTCTTGGGTGACAATTATTTTTTTTTACTATCTTTAATCACAGATTGGCATGATAAAACTGAAATCAAATATTGAAATTCTCATCTTTTGAAAAAAAGTTTATTTGCAGTAAACAGTATAGAATTCAAAAAGCCATACTTTTGTACACAATTTTAAATTGAAATAGATTCAGCTACAAAATTCAAATTAGTATAGATTTATTATACATTTGTTACAGTTTGTTATTAAAAATATATATTAATTGAAAGAAATAGGGCAAAGTGATTTAGTAACACAAAGAAAAAACTAGTGCTTGCTAACAATCACGTGGCTCAAGGATACCAGCACATTTTGCCATAATGCAATGATGTCATAATGCTAATCAGCTTTACACTTTCACTCTGCTTGTCAAACAGTGCATGTTTTACTTTATGATAAAAATAATCCAGCATAAGTTGCATAACTTTTCCGGCTATTATGTGATCTTATTTAGAAAATAATTTTTATATTTTTAATTATCGAATGGCAAAATGCTTAATTTTAAGGGTAGTGATTGGTTTCATAAAAAATTGTAAATGCTAATAAAGTACAACATCTTCATTAAGTCTGACCATACTCAAGATATGACATAACCCCTCTCTATCTCCCCACTTCCCTGACCTTTTGCCACCAAAATTCAATAGCATCAATGTCCCTTATATGCAAGCTACTATGTCAAATTTCATTTCTTTACTTCTTTCCCTACCCTGAGATATTAAGCAAAATAGATGCTAACATGTGCAAGCATGAAATTTTTGTGCCTTTTTTGGTTCCAGGAGGTCTAAAAATGTGGAGACTTGCAAAAAACTTGGATGGTCAAATTTGACATGATTCCAATACTTTTCCTTGTTGTGTATATACAACATTCGGAAAAGTAATAGAAATATTGACCATAGAGAAATGTCCTTTTAGACAAGTAAATAGCATGTGTTTAATTACCAAATAAATGTTAGTACTAAGTATTCTTTTTGTTAGTTAAACATTTATTTTTATCTTATAACGTTAAATTTTTATTTTGTTTTGTTGTATTTATGTCTTAAAATTAACTTTAAATTGTATATGTTCTACGCAATTTAAATGTTTGTATGTTCAATAACCATTATATATTTGTTATCT